TTGCCGTTCCCCTTTTCAACTGACTGATTAGTAGAGTCTTTATCACCTCGCTTCTCATCACGAGCCTGTCTGATGTCCACAGTCAACTGATACTGTTGTAGAGCGGCGTCTACCACCTGAGCATAGGTAGTATAGGCTGGACTACCTGTAATAGCTCTCTTGATAGACCACATCAGTCCATTAACGAAACTGTTACGCTTCTTCTCCTCTGTATCCACCTCCTCCGGTGCAAAGAGAGACAAGCGTGTGAACTGCTGCTCATACTCCGCCACTGTCATGTTTCCCTGCTGCAGATTTAGAAACTCGGTCTTCATAGCTGCCCTGACTGCATAGGGAAAATATTTCTCGTCAAAGCGAGCACTGAACTCATCATAAATCAATGTCATCCTCTCCTCTGGGGTGGTAACTGACTCCCACCACTGTAGTGCACCCCCAACTAACTTGAAAGTAACAAGCATCTGCTTCTGAACCTCCGTGCACTGAACCAAACGAAGATGACGCTCAATGTCCTGTTTCCACTGGTAAGCTGCTCTCGCATCGGTTGAGCCTGAGAACACAGGTGGACTCCCCTTTGTGAAAAAGCTCCTAGCCTTTCCCCAAGAATCCGTCTGAACCACTGGTGCTGGTAGTGGTGCCGACTGTACCTGAGGTTGATTCCGAAGTGCAGCTGTTACCCCTGCCTCTATAGCCCGAGCAATAAGGTCATTAAGGTGAGAAGGAAACTCTGGATTTCCTCCCTGATCCCCAATCTGCTGAACTTCCTCCTGCTCCTCATAAAACTGACCTTCATCCTCCTGACGCTGCCTACGGGCCACTTCCCTTCGTTGCCGATTGTTCCGTCTGGTTCTTGCGTTAGCCATTCTGTCAACACAGAAAAACAGACATCAGCACGATTAAATCGAACCGTAAAGAATACAATGAATCCTAAACTTAAGCTCTAAACAATAGAGAACGCTACGCGGAAGTCTTATACGATAGAATCCTAGAGACACTTGAACCTGAAGTGCTCTGATACCAACTGTGATACCCCTCGGATCAGAGACACGGGTTGATTAGGCTCAGGCCCAAACCCGAGGGATGTCAAACAATTAATATGTAATCGAACACAGAATACAAGATAAAATAAAAATTAAAAATAATAAGCTGAAAGAATGCTAATTGAAAATTCTTAAAATAATATAATTATTTAAAATCCGTTAAATCCAAACCCCATAGGTTTACAACTTGGGAATCCATCCATTGGACCCCTTATTAAAGATTCTCAAACCGGAACTGAAAATAATAGAAATAAAGACCAAAGCTAACATAAAGGAGATTCCTACATAGTCGGAAGAATGAATATCTGTATCTGCTCTGCACATCCAAGCTCTAACCCTGGAACTGACGAACACCTGAAAAATAAAGAAGTGGGTCAGGCCCACATGCAAGTCCTGATTTACTACAATTCAAACAGTAATCCGATACGCAGATACATCCTAGAAAGACTCAACAATAACTATAGTAGTCCATATAAGTATATAGTACACACTATAGGACGCTCGCTAGTCCAGTAGGTTTGTCTCAGCCTGAATAGAAGGCAACATGCAAATACGCACCCTAAGGTGGGCATGAGTACCTGGACCTACCAGGGAACAACACCTATGTCCAGTTATCCATCCTAGGTGATATACGCGCCCTAACCATGGTCATGAGACTCAAGCTCATACCACGGCACCATATAATATATATATAAGGTCCGAACCCATCATAATACAGTATACCATCCATCTGTGTAGTGGTCTGATATATGTATAACAAATCCATCCTGATACCATAGTAGGTCATTCAATTCACAATTGATATGACACATGTAGGTGATGGACTTAACTTTATGATTAATCCATACCTTAATCCACATTTAGGTAGGCCTAGTGTCTGAACTATTTTATACCTAATATGTCACCGTCCCATATCGATACATACCATCCTCCAGTTAACAGAGTTGATAAAACAGTACTAGATAGTCATCAACCCAACTCCCAACATATGCACCAACCAAATTAATCCATAAACATAAAACTTAGGTATTCAGTCCAACCATTAAATTTGCTAATTATGAAACATAGCATTTATAGCATGCATCAAATTCACTAATTGATAAAATTAACTGAACTGTTATATCAATTACTTCCAACCAAACATAGATAATTCCAAGAATTTTACTATGCTTATAAAACTGTCTAAACATAATTAAAACAGTAATAAATAAAAATCCCAATTCCAGTCCGTTAAATGACAAAACAAAAGCATGCAATTTATTTCTCCAAACAGTGCCATAACTGGTGCAATTTATATCCAGTTTAAATCATCAGTTAATTCCATCCATATCTACATCTAATTATACTACTATATGCTTAAACCATAATAAAAAATATAACTAGCAGTTTAAGATTATACAGAGAAATCAAAATTTCAAAAAAATAATAGACAAAAGAAAATTAATTCTTCAATCATCCTCCTACGATTCTCTGTTTAAACTAAAGTTAATTCCATCCTCAATACCTACTTGTAACCATGCTTCCCAGCATTTTTATAAGTCTTTGGCAATGATTTACACTCTCCAATAGCTTTTAAATGATTTTAGAAAACCAATTTTCAGCCCAAACGGACCCTAAAATCAACATTCCGGGCAATTAAAGAGGGAGCAGGCTCTAGAAAAAAGTTGAGCCTGCTCTTCCCATCTAGAGCCGGCTCTAGACTTACTAGAGCCTACTCTAGTGCACCAAGAGCCGGCTCCTCCTCTTTGGGAGCCGGCTCTAAGGGTTTTGGAAGCCTCTTCTTCCTCCCTTAGCAGCCTTCTGTCCGTTTAAACTTCATCTCTCTGATTCCTGTAAGTACTAGTTCTCTGTAGTAATTTTATTACATGTTTTTAAGGTCTATTCCAATTCCAGATTGATTATAAAACAAGGATATACAATGTTATTTAATCAAAACTTGAATTGAAAAACAAACTGTTACTCAATGGAGCAAGGTTACAAAGTTTCAGTTTTTTATTTCTATCTTGTTAAAACAATCAAGAACAGGTTTATTCCATGAATTGGAACATTAATTAAACATGCATAAAGGTTATAATTAACCCTTATTTTAATTCCTGGAGTCTTCCTAAACACGCACAGAACACAGATTAAAGAGATAGAGAAGAACAAGACTTGCCTTGAGTTTCAGACTTTGAAACTCTAAACCTCCGTCTCTGAATTGTCCGTCAACGTTGTCGACTACTGTCTTACTCCTTCGACGTTCTTGGTTCAACCCAGAAAACACCCCGTCCAACCTTCCTTGAACCTCTCTGTATAATACTCAAGTTCCTTCTCTGTTTCTCTGCTCTCACAACTCTCTGTATCACTGTATACGGGAATAGAGTTTTATGTATTTTTCCTCAAACTCTAAACCCACATAAGGTCATATATATAGGCGTAGTAGTCCAACCCTAATCCTTGTATAATTTGAGCCCTAATGCAACACTTAATCGGCCCAAGAATAACCTAAGTTATAACCTATGTCGGCTAATACGTGAATATACAGAAAACACAATTCTAATTTAAACCAATTTAATTAAATAAACCCAATTATCAATTAAGTCAAATAAAATATCATAAAACAATTTAATTTAAAACAATTTAATAAAAGAAAACAAAATAATTTAATCAATTAATTCAACTAATCACACATAATCAAATAAAATGCAGTTAAATAATAAAATTAAAAAAACCCAGGAATATTCTTTTAAACTAGGGGTATTACAGTAGAGTACCAGTAGGCATATTTTAATAAAGTAGATGTATAATATGCATTTTAGATTATGTAAGTGAAACTCATTTTTCCACAATCTACTTTATTATTATATAATTAATTTAGAAGTGATGTGAGAAAAAAAGACAAAAATAAGGACAATTAATTATTAAACAATTGTGTCCAAATGGATGAATATATTCTATAGCATTCTCTAACTGTGGACAATGCAATAGAGAATAACTGCTGAAGCCTACCATTTTGTTACTCTATAGTTTACCCACACCGACTCTTCTTCTCTATACTTTATAAAAATATTTTTCTTTTTTTGCCTCCGCCCCAGTTGCTCTTAAAAGCATTCGGGATGGGAGAAAAAGTGGAATTCATTTTCATAAAGTAGAGAAACAAAGGATGATACGAGTGAAAAATAGAGTATGAAATCAGTAGTCCTTATTTGTGATAATCTATTATAATGTCCACATTTAAATAATCCTATAGATAATATCAATGCGTTATAATGCTTTGTGGTCACTTTTTTCTCTCCCTCAAAACAGCTATATCCTCAAACAAATAATAATAAAATAAAAGTAGACAATGAGGTAAATGTAGCACACCATTGCATGAATTTGAAAAAAAAAAAAATAGAGTGTCACATCAACAATTTTTTTAAATTAAATATTTTTATAAAAGTAAATAGAGTAAAATGGTGTACACCAAATGCTCTAAGAGAGGCTTGACACCCTGTCAAGGGCAATTTATCCATATATATTAAAATTGAAATGTCTTAATTCCAAAATTAATCAAGAGGCCTTGTACCACAATCATGGGCAATTTACCCCTGTATATTAAAACTGAAATGTCTTTGATTCCAAATTTAATTGGTTTGAAATCACGTGTAAGTAAATTGAATAACTCAATTTTCCAAAAGCTTGGTAAAAAAAAAAAAAATCCGAAAACTTAAATAGTATAATCAAAACTTGTGACATTGGAAAAAATAAAAAGCAATCGGAAAAGGATTGATATCCTCTCCATTCATAATTGAAAAAACCAGAGAGAAAAAAAGAAAAAGAAAAAAAAAGAGGATGCATATTTCCACGTAGGCAACAAAAGTTGAACTCTCCCATGGGCCATAGCAGTGTAACATCTACTCCTTTCGGAGTCAGCTTGCATCTAGGTGTGCGCGGTACGTACCACCGGTCCACCACCACAACCTATAATATATATACAGTATAAGCGATGAAAGAGCGCCAATTCATTTGCAAAACAATCTCTGCCCCAACTCGTCTTGTCAATCTCTCTCTCTCTCTCTCCAAGCAAACTCGTAGTGCATGACATGCGAACTCGATTTCTCAACATCGACTACTTCAATTCCACTTCAGAAACCCTAGAATTCCTCCGCCTTCCACTCCCTGAGCTCCCTCCTTCCAACTTCCAAGACTTTCACTGCTTCAATGAAGTCTATGTTCTTAGCCTCTCTCTTGAGATCGAGAGATCTCCGATTGGCGACGCTCTCTCCAAGTTCTTCTCTGATGTTCTGCCTCACACCATCAATGTCGACGTTGGAGATTTTGCTAATGAGCATTGCTCTCGGAAAGCTTGCTTTGATGAGCCAAGACTTTTTAGTTCTCAGAATAGTACAGAAATTCGAACTTCAGAGGTAAATTATAGGTTCCATTCAATGTAAATGATTTGTTACTTCATGAATTATTTTCTCTGAAATTTTGCTGATAGTGCTACAGAATTTTACAGTTATGACTTGGAATTTAAATTTTGGAAGCATTAGATCGAAAGTAATTTATTGATATATTTGAATAGTTTTTTATAATATTGAATTTAATCAAACGTAGATTCTTATTGGACGTTTTCATCACCGTCCTTTCGGACATTCTCCATCTATTATTCTATTGTAAGAATTGATACTGAAATGGAAGAAAGTTCAGTGCTGGCAGTATTGCGATTCAAATTTCAGAGGTAGAAGCACGAGTTTTGTTAAATTTAGTTTTTATTCTCAGGTTCCTTTTGTTTTTAGTTCTACTTTTGATTTTTGAACTTCTTAATTTTTTAATCTTCCGAAAGTAGAGTCTGGAATTGATGATGGATTTTGGATTAAGATTGTGCTCGTTGAGGCACTGAGGTTTTGAATTCCAGGAACATGATTGTTGTACCGGATCTTAGTTTATTTGTGTTATAATTTGGAAAGGCTGATGGATGATGGTTTGAGATTTTATTCTATAAAGTACATAGATTTAATGTTCAGAGGTGAAATGTGGAATATATTCAGATTTAATCTTATATTGGCCTTCTACTTTCATTTTTGGGTTATCGTTTAAAATTTTTAAGATTAAATGGTGGTTATTATAAATTTAAGGTACTGAATTCAGGGATTAAATAGCATGGATGTAGTTCTAAATTGGCACATTTTTATTATTTTGTCAAATGATCTTTTGAAATTTTACATTGACTCTTCTGCTAAATTTGAAAATGGTGATATTGTGGTAAACTATTGATAGAATTTTGGTTTTGTATGTATTGAGATTAGGTTTTCAGAGATTTCAGAGGGTCTTGAGCAATGCTCTTGGGAATTGGCAGTTTCTGTTTTTTGTTTAAATGATCTTTTAGGAGTCTTCATGTGATTCGGCCATTAAATTTGATAATAATTAAAGTCCTTTGATCAGAATATTGTTGTGGTGTAACAGATAATGCTTATAGGTGCAACTGTCACTGCAATTAAACGTAGCTTTAAATCATCTATTCCCGGATTCTTTTGAATGTTAAGTTCTAAAATTTGGCTCCCAAGTTTTGCAAAATCTTATTGTGAAGTTTCAGTTTTTATTTCCTTCTCAAATGATCTTTTAGGAGTCTTCATTTGATTCAACCATTAAATTTGACAATCATTACAATAAAGGGATCAGAATAAAAAAATAAAAAAATTTGGTATTGAAATCTATTGTTTACAGGTAAACTGTTAATCAATGTAGCTTCAAATTAGCTGTTAGTGTTTCCATACTGAATGTTAGGTTCTAAAATATTGGCTCCACCACAAAGTTTGAGAATTATACTACTTACGTGACAAGATTAATGCTTGCTGAGGTTGGCTCTTTCTGATCACTAAGAGAATTAGTATAAGAAAATATTAGGACAAAAAAAAAAAAAAATTAGGACATTTCATTATTAATTCCCTCACCCAGACTGTGTTTACCTTTTCAAGTTTGAAGTTTTTTGGATTATTAGAGTTCTCTCTTTGATGGCAAACTGGCCCTTAAGGTAAGTGGCTGGATTTTATATCTGGACCTTTCGGCTCAAATTATATTCTGAAACATACAACTTATAAGTTCAATTCTGTGAGAGAAGGATTCTGAATAGACCTGTAATTGTCACTTTCTGGAGTTCCTTTTAGTGTATATGAAGAAAAGAATGTGGAGGGTGTGAGGAATGTTGGATCTGAAACTGTGGAATTTGAATTAATCAAAGCATTAGAATAGGTTTGTTTATGGATAATCATTTTTTTTTCCTTCTCTTTTTATTTAAATTTGGTATAGGATCTTTGTTAAGTCTGATTCACCTCACTGCAGAAGGAAAATGAGATTACATTTGATGCTAGGGACGAAAACAGATTTGAAGTAGTCCAGTTCGAAACACCAGAGCTAGATGTATTTGTGGTAACATAACTGTCCTATAAACCTGTGAATATTAATTTTTGTTTCGTCAAAAAAAAAAAAAAAAAAAATCTTATGCTGTATCTCTTGTTTTTTCACTACAGGAAAATGCTTGTTTTTCCGAAAAGGAGGATATGCAAATTTTCTTTGAAGTCCTGGAGGCTGAAAATATTCCGGTAAAAGATTTTGAGAACTCCTCCATCTCATATCTCATGTATATTAGGTCACTTTATCTTTTATCTTTCCTTAGCCACAGCTAATGTGGAAGACCAAACCCGGTATTTTATTTTCTTTTTTGGGTGTTAGAGCAGTGGTAAAGCCTTAGTTATTTTCTTTGCTGTTACCAAAAAATTGATGGTAAGAAATTAGGTATTAAAGTGCCCTACAGTAATTAAAGAGATCAACTTGTGGCATCTCTCTGTTTACAGGGATAAACATTTTACTGGTATGATTGTTGCACATCAGTTCAAAATGATCTTAAAAGACCGGGAATTGTGCTGCCTATGTGTGTTTTTCTGTGCATGTTTCTATGATCTATATAGTGTTGATTGTCAACTCTCAAACAGTTAAAATGGCATTATCTCAGCATATTGACTTTTTCTTTTATAAGTCTCAGCATATTGACTCCTGAAACTGATCCTAGTAGGTCATTACTGCATATGTAACACATTTTTTACTTAGTCCCTCTTGTAGCTTTCTTTTACACACTCATTGCCGGAACATTCTCTTTTTACCTATTTGCATTACTAATTTATCTGTTTACTTCAGGTTATATAATGGAAGTTATTGGATATATGTCTAACTCATTAAGTTCTGATAAAACTCTGAATTAGATATGAAGAGATTCTGTTTGTTTTCTTCCATGTGAATTTTCAGACTTGGGTATTGAGAATGGATCTGTTTCCAGTTTTATGAAAAGAATCTGTCTAGGATGGGTTTCTTGCTATTAATTTCTTTTTTCTTTTGAATAAAGATAGTGAGACCAAATAGTATATAAAATATAAACAATTTCTAATATTTAAATGAAAATGTCAAGTCCTTGACTACCTGTGGTGGAGCAACTTTATGCCCAGTGGGGGCAGCTGCAAAAAGCAGTGCAGCTGTATATCATTTTAGGTATTGAAATTAAGTCATTTTGTAGAGGCAAAAATTGCAGTGCAGGAGTACTTTTTTGAAGTGCTAGTATCATTTGCCTAACAAAATTCACTACCTCGTTAGTTTAAAGAATTCCTTTTATCTTATTATTACCCAAAATTGGCCCCCCTAAAGTAAATCCCCGACTCCAGCGCCGCTGACTACCAACACTTCACTCTGCCTTTTCCCAATAAACAGTATTTGTATGTATATTTTTCTCAAACTTGCGGGAAGGAGTGTTAAGATTTGACTTGTACCACAAGGAAGCTGGTAGGATTAATGATTGCTTCAATGCAAGTTTAACACAAGAATTTTTGGCTGTTACATTTCTACTTTTTTTCTTCCAAATGTAAATTGGTTTATATTGCATTGCTAGTGTAGTTTGCTAGGTTTGTTGTAAAGTTTTAAGTTAGTTTGATGATGAACTTGGTCAGTTGTTGCAGGATATGCTTAATCCAGAGTTTACAGTGCAATACCCATTTGAGATACAACAATCTGTTTATTCTATTGATGACATAACTCAAAAATACCACATCGAGCAAAAGGCTTGTTTCTCAGAAGAAGATGGTTCTTTTGGGGACCAATTTCACCTGTGTCATCACATATTTCCTCTTTTGGAAGTGGATGAGATTAGCTTGGGAATTTCTTCAAGCATATCCAGAGAGGATGAATTTCTTCTACTTCTTGAAAATATGGAACCTAAAGATTGGACCCAAGTAGATGAGGTAGCCGTTGATTGCAGGGAACTTTTGGTTTCTGTGAACATTGATATTTTAGATTATTTTCTATCAAAGCAGTGCCTTGAATCTGAGCTGGCATTCTCTGAAGTTTTTCTAAAAACGGATGTTCCATGTATTATTGAACTTTCACTTGGTGAAGAAAACTATGCATTTCATCCTGGGACAAGAGAAGAGTCAGTGAACATATTTCTCTTTGAGGACCTCCAGTTCGTTGATTTGGACTCATCTGAGTTCTTCAACATTTTTCCCAACTCACAACTAGTTAAGGAACCAGAAATGTGTGAACAAGTGTTCAGTGAAGAGATGAACATCAGGAACTTTGATGATCTGATTGTTAGTCATGAGCTTGCTCTGGCAGATGAGATGTTTAAATCATTGCCCGTGCCTATTCTCTCTGATCATGAAAAAATAAGTTCACTGTACGCCTTTGTTGAGGAAATGCTCTCTGATTTGAAGCCACAGTCTCTGTCTGCATCTGATGATATTTATCTAGATTGGCATCTTTTGGAGTCTGATAATTGCAACTGCAATATTTACTCCTCTTGTCGGAATGTGTTTGAGGAGATAAACACTTACAGCATTGATTCTGATAAGAAATGTATTGATGATGGGATGCTGATACTCGATTTTGTTTTCTCTGGTGATACCCCAAATGGGCGAAACATAGAAGAGAACAAAGAAATACTGACCACTACTTTTGCTGGAATTTCAGTGGTTCATGGGCGTCGTAACAGAATTGCTTTAAGTAAGTTGCAAAATGATGGATGTCAAGAAACAGGAAATCGGGAAGTTTTAACTGACATAAATGCTGAGAAGATGTCTTCTATAGTTGATCCAATGCCACAGTTTAATGATCTTGATTTTTTCATAAATCTTCATAAGGCTACTACTGGAAAAAATAGTAAACCTGCTGACAAGGCCTCTGATATTAAGGCTACATTCCCCACGGTTTCTTCTGGTGTTCCAGTTGCAGCATGTGCTACCAGCATAGGACAGTTGCAGCTGTGGGATATAAAGTTGCATCGAATTAAGTTGTCTCATGATTTTCTGGGACTTATTGATAATTTCCAAAATATCTATCTAGCCATCTTGAAGAATGAAACAGAGCTTGCAGTGACACAGTATTTAGCTGTGGATAATTTGAAATTGCTCAGCCTTCCATATGAAAAGCTGATGAACTGCATGAAGAAAACAAGTACACAAGGAACTTTATTGTCTCATGGTAGTGATAATGGAATGGCATTTGTCACATTATGTGCAATTAAACGAATGGCTTGGTATTTGTGTTACTATGGCATCCATACAACTCATATCTATGCAAATAATTTGTGCCGAGGTCTGGAGTCCATAAAATTTAGACTAAGCTCCCTCCAGAGCTTGATTGAAGATGAGCATGTGAAGGCTAACAAAGACATAACCAAATCACATCCATCATTATCTGTTATCCAGCAGATTTTGCAGTCAAACATTAACCAGAGTAGTTTGAAAGTATTAATTGTGGCTGAAAATTTTTTCTGGTGGCCATTGAAGCGGTTGTTGACTTCCATGAAGCTATCATTTATTGAGCTACAAAATTTTCATATGAATACAAGTCAACTTGATGTGAATCACAGTAATGAGGTCACAGATGCTACTATGGATGCCATGCTGCATGCAGATTGTTCTTTCATATCCCATGAGTAAGTCTTAGTTTCATAAATGTACTTTTTTGGTGGAATGTCAGTTGCTATAAATCTGTCTCATCTACTATTGCAACTTATCAATCATTGATTTCTGATTTCTTCGGGTGATATAAATGGTTGAAGTTTTCATTTCATTCGTTTTTTTAATTTTTATCCAATTAAAAATTTTGTTATATATTTGATGAATTGGTGATGAGATGTCACAATCAAACACATATTAGAAAGTGGAATATTTAAGGTGGGCACTGGGTCTAACTCTCTCTCTATCTTAATGTTACAAGAGGGCACATTTTAGTATCAAGCCTATCCTTCTGTCAATTGATTTCCTAAACTGCAGTAATAAGTGACTAGAGCATAGGGCGAAACTAAACAAGAGTGCAAGAGAATTGATTCTTGAAAACCCTGAGAATGGAAGGGTCTGTAGAGGGCATATATCAATATAAAGGACATTAGCTAGCGTTTTTTGGGTCTGTACAGGGAGCTGGGAGAGGAAGACTGCAGAATGTTAACCTTTGGCATTTCTTTGCACAAAGCATTGTTTCTCCTACCCACACCCTCTTCCTCATGCTTGTTAGTCCAAATTTTTGTCGTTGATCCAAATAATGGACCTTAGAGGTTATATTAATGTATATACGTATATAGCTTTATTATACAACTAAATTGTGAGTGTATTATTTAAATTCTACAAGTACGAATAAAGCAACAAAATCAAGGTTTTTTGTTTTTTCTGTTAAGGAACAATATAATTTTTATAATACAAGATGTAGAACAGCAAAGACGGTGACACCTGGCAATTGGACTGATGTATGGTTACATGCAGGTCCAGGGATTGATTCTTGTTATTTGCCCATAAATACTACTTTCTTTCAATTGGCTTTGTGAACTTGCTGTTGTTGGTGTAACTGGTGGTGTGGTAATATGATAGCCTGCTTGGCACTCCACCCAGAGTTTGGAAGATAGCTGATTACCTATGCTAGATCCCCCTTGGGAGTGCTGTCCACTTTCTCAAATCATGTATGCTCTCCCCTAGGTAGGCAGATTAGGGCACCTAGCTGTAGTCACAAGGTTCAGGATACTAGCAGAGCTTACTATTCAAATGAAAGGAAAGAAAACTAGACGGCAATTTCTATATTTATTATTTATGCATAAAACGGGTATGGTTGGAGGTAACATAAATTTTTTATTATTGGTTACTAACTAAAATTCTTGCTATATATACTTGTAATTAGGAGATCCATGTACTAGAAATGAAATAAAAATTATATCATAATTGCCTTAGGCCCTTAACTATATCTACTTTTTTATTGTGTATATGCTCCTGATCAGTTACAGGCATTGAAAGAAAAAGCATGACTAAACAGTTCCATGGGATATTTTTTCTTTTAAATCATTAACCTTATAACATGATACATTAGTAAGGCAATAACACGATTCACTCTAAAATTTATACTTGTAAGCAGGTTACACATGAGTCATGGTTTTGTAAACAAGTAGGGTAATGCTGTGGTTTTAGCTGTTGGAACATCATATGTTCCTGACTTCCTATCTATCTTGGTTTTTTGTAGTCGCATGAGATTTTTTATGTCTAAAATCATAGTTTTTTCCATCTATTATATATATATGTGTGTGCGCTACCTGATAAATTGATAGTAGCTGGTAGTTTTACAATTTTTCTTTAGTAATACTTTTTCCAGAGATGTGAAATAGTGCAAAGTAGTGAAACCCACTCATGAAACCCAAAGCATATGGAACCATTTCTTAAACTAAATATTACCTTGTGCACAGTGACCAAAATCTTGATGCACACCAGCTTAAATTCAAAGCTTGCTGTAATTAGGGTCTTCTGTACTCCAACTTCTCTGTTCTGGTGTCATTAGATCAGTATTAATTTGCATGTTTCTGCTTTACAAGGTACTTTTTGAGTAGTATTAATTGTTTATGAGCTGTTAAGCAGTGGATAATGCTTCCTTCTGTTATTTTCAAGGTATGTTTCTGCATCTCTTCCATTCGATAAATTTGGAATCATCTTGGAATATGGAGGTTCACGTGACTCATCTAGAGTTTCCACTGTGTCCCCGAAGCTAGTTGGTTTTCCTCATCTTCATTTCCTCAAGGTGGAACTAGAGAACTCTAGTGTTCCAAAAGCACTTTGCGAAGGTGCTGACATTCCCCGGAATTTTGGATTTACAATGGCAAGTATCTTTCTTTATGCATCATTACACCAACATTGCTCATCTCTTTTCTAATCAAAATTTAAGCATGTTGTAGTTGATTGACTTTCAACAGTCAGCAGTGTCACTTTTTTTTTATTGTCTTTCCTGGTAACAATGAAACAGTATGCAATAATTCATTCTTGATTCAATGGTTGTCTTTACTTCATGTAATAATTCATTCTTGATTCATAATGGTATTCACTTATCAGTTTGTATTGCAAAACTTTATGCCACCACTGACATTAATCATATACTAGAAAGGAGATCCTCATTACACTACTCTGAACGAGAGCAATCAGAAACTGGAAGAGCTATTGAACTTCGTACCTGTTGAGATTAAGTACGATATGGGATCTTTAGATGCTGCATACAAAGTGGAAGCTTGCTGTATGCCCTTGCCGGTTCCATGTGCACCGTTGTCTTTGGAATCCAAGCAAATTTGCACAAGTGTGCATTCTTTTCCTGAAACCATCATTATTGTGAACACTCAGAATTTTGAGAAAGAAATGATAATTTCAAGGAGGAGCACATACCAAAGAATTCTTGCAATGGAAAAAGAAGGATCACAAGTTTTAGAGCGTGAATTAAATTTGCCTGTAGATGTTATAATAAGTGCTGCCGTTTGCTTAGCATGGTTTGATTGCAGAAACATTGGAAAGAAAGCAACCGCTCCAAATGAGGCTTCTTCATGCTTACCTTTGTGCGTTGAGAATATTGCTGCAAATGTTTTGACGTCTCTGAGTTTTACTTTCAGCGGTTGCATTCTGGTAAGTGTCTTTCCTCTGTCAATGTGGTTTAAACTATTTAACTGAGTGATTTTATTTAGAGAGAATAATTAGTCCTCAAAAAGTAAATTGAGAGTGTTTGCATTTCCTGTGAGCTTCTTTGGATGCTTTGTTGCAGCAACCTTTCTTTCACAGGAAAGAAAATCCTTTCCAATTGATCTTATTGATATTATGAGAAAATGTTTTGAGCATTTAATGATTCTTGACAAATTCTTGTCTGCATCTTTGTGACCACAAATACAGATTTATAATGTAATACAAATCTGCAATGAGCAAATATAACTTCAAGAATTGTTTATTATTATTGTTATTTTTTTTATTTTTTTATTTTACCTAATTGAAACTCACACACGCAGCAGATACTATGAAACAACCTTCATTACATGGATTCTTCTAATGAGTGATGTACCCTTGTCAGACATGACTCTTGGTTATGGTTTTGACCTTTTGGGAGTGTGTCCAACATGTCCAGTTGAAGGTGCACCTAGCAACTATGTCTTGTAATCTAAGTTTATCAGATAATTGTATATAAAACTTTCTTATTATGTTCGTTTTTTCATTTTTTGATTCAAAACAGTACGTTCATCCACATACACTTAATTTGCTCAGGTGCATTTTATATTCATAAATTACTAGTGAGATCTACAGTAACAGTAATTTAGATGGGACAGAATGACAAAGCAGAATTAATCGGCATTTTTAGTTGGGATTAGGTATTTACAATTGTCACTAATTTATACAATGAGGGATGGCAAATATGTGCATATGATTAAGTAGTTGAAGTTGTAATTTATCATACCAAAAGTCTGAACAAAAGCAACAGATGACCCAAAGAAATAAAAGTTGTAAAGATAACTGACCAAGGATTCACACTACATAATAGAGGCAAATCGCAAATTGGAGATTTTCATGACAATCCATAAAACCGAATTGGACTGATGATGTAAGCTGATACTGAAACCCATGCTAGTGTTTATCTTACCATTACAGCATTTCAGAATGATTGTTTAAAATAGTTTTGGAGGATAATGTGATACTGGTGTAAGAAGTTAAATAGTCATGTTATAAGTCGCACAGAATGTGCCAAGCTAAGAAGCACGGACACGGATACGGGACACGGACACGACACGGCAAATCCAAAAAAATTAGGACACGGCAGGGACACAGTGAATAGTATATGTATATTATATATATATATGATGTAGTACTTTAAAAATTACTGAGTGTTACTACTTTTCATCAACCTCGTAATAAAAAAAATACACAAATCATAACTCATCTACTGTAATAGTGTAATGACTGGCCCTTAAATATCTATTTGTTTTGTCTAAAATTGCATATTAACCTTACAAGTTTAAAACTATTATGTACTGACCACATAAGTGAGTAAAAGTTGTTAAATAACTTCACATATTTATACTTTAACCCAATATTCTTTCAAAAATTATCTTTTAGACCCCCAAAAATAAGACACGAGTGTCGAACATACACCCCTGGCGTGTCGGACGCGTGTCCGTGCAATGTCCAAAAATTAAAAATAAAAATAAAAATTCCAGACACGTTTTTTGGTGTGTTCGACACGTGTCGGGGCGTGTCCGACACGTGTCAGACACGGATTCTTCGCCCATTTTGGCATGTCCATGCTTCCTAGGTGCCAAGAATTGACCATTTTACTTTGGTTTCCTTGTAGCCTCTTTGATTAAACGTCAAGGCCATATTTTTCGTTTTTGATTCTTCGTCATGTTGTTATCTATTGGATAATCAGGTGACAGCTCATTTGGAAGATGAGTTTTGGCAGAACTAAATATGTATTAGTTCTTTTGCAAGAAATTGTCACATAGTATAAACTATAAAGCCCAATATTGAGTAATCAAATTGGTGAAACTTCAAAGAAACATGGAAAATTCAAGGATTTTGATTGTTGTGCCTCTTGAATATTTTGATTTAGTTTAAAATGGATTGAAATATAGAAGTCTCTAATTTATAATTTCAGTTGATTTCTCATTCATTGAGCTTGTGCTACATGAAGTCATTTCCTGATTAAGCTCACTCTTCAAATTCTTTATGTTGTTTTCTTTCTCAGGTCTTTGAGGGAGAAAGCAGTTTCCTTTCTGCCATTTTGGAATCATCAGATGAACTTTATGCTGCCGCAGCTAGTCTAGGAATTGATTTACAGCTGTTTTGTTCATATTCATCTGAGCTGACTGATGAAATTATACTGAGCTGCATTGGATATGCTACTAAGTTAACCAAAGGTGTATATCCTAAAATGTCTGAATCAGAGACTCTTGCAGAATCTTTCCTTACAACATTTCCTTCAATTAATCCACTCTCAGCTCATGCAATACTGTCTTCAGGAGGCATGCTTGTTGAGTTTCTCGAATGGTCACATGAGAATAGAATTTCTTCAATCCGGAAATATCATGTTCCTGACGAAAGTGTCACTTTATTGAGTGCTGTGTGCAGATATGGGGAGCGGGAGGATTCTAAATCTGGAACGACTGACTGTTCTTCAGTATCTTCTGTTCCTGACTTTGAAATTTGTCAAAGTGACACTGCAAGAAAAAAACATAAACACATTGGGAGTTTACACAAAATTGGCGTATCTATGGATGACTTGTTTAATTTTGATTCATTAAAGCAAAATGATTCTTGGATGTCAGAAGGTCCTGTGATATTTGATGAGACTGAAAAGCCCAGTGTATCTTTCAATGATGATTTGTTTGGTCAGAAAACAGTTTCAGGTTTATCAATGATGATGAGCCCTTCTAGATCGTGCAAGCCGAATGATTATCGAATGTCAAGAGGGCCTGAGGATTCGGATGAAATCAGAAAATCCAATTTTCCCTTGAATGATAAATTTCTTGGTCAAAAACAGGGAATGGATAGGGTTCTGATCAACAAATTGGACCAGCGTTGTAAAAATAACTCCAAAAATATGCGGGAGGACTTTATAGGCGAAGTTATTGACATCGATGATAGTTCCTTGATACCTCAGGACTTCTCTTCTATAGCAGACTCAAAAGGTTTCTCACCTCTGGTGCATGAGATAGATAAAGATCCTGCAGTAGGAAATTCTGCAACTGCGAGAAGATTGTCTTTCAGTAGCAGCTGCCTTCCTACTTTTCCAACAGCTGCGGAGATTAGTTCTGACTCTGATGTCTGGATTTCTGTAGAAGATCATGGAGAAAGTGCAAAGGAAGGAACATATCAACATTCAAATAGAGATTTTTACAACAATTACTTGCCCTCAAGGCACAAAATGCTCTTTGAGGAGGATCGAAGGCACAAAACTGCACCAAACTTCCAGAGTTCATTTCAAGAAAAGGATACACCACAATATGGTGGAACACCAATCTCTAATGCCACCCGCTTAGCACAAGCACAGCAAGGATCACCCTGGATGGTGGAGTTAGTTAACAGAATCAAAGAGAAGAGCAGATTGCGGCAGCAATCACTTCCATGTGACATGTCTCCCCCTTGTTTTGGGTACTCCAGGAATGTATCAAAAGTTACCAAGAGAAAAAGTCCATCTATTCTTGACTTTTACAGGTACCGAGGGGGAAGCACTCCCAAGAAAATTCTCGATCATAAGAGGCAAAAGCGATCTGTACAACCTTCCAAAAATGAGAAGTCTTCAGTTTCCCTTCCTCCGACATTGACTCCATTGGATAAGAGAGCACGACGGGTGTGTATTAACTGAATTCCCCTTTGCTATGATGGTCAGGTCTGTTTTTATTGTATTGAGCTTTACACTTGACCAACTGCAGACACTTTCTTTCGCAACAAATGGTGGCGGAGGACAAAGTAAGCTGATCTGGAGTGAAAAGAATGCTCACACTGTGAACAGAAGATTTTAACACAAGGTGAAAATAGCGGTAAGTGCAGATGAAACATGTATAGATCTAGGATCATTTTGATTACACAAGTTGGTTAGTTAATTTTGTATGTAGCAACAGACCAACAGTATCCAGGTGCCATATACTATTCTTAATTAAATGGGGTCTATGTTTGCAGCTCAGGCTTCTTTAAATCCGCAGTAATTGGTACAAATCTGAGAGTTGTTGCAGCATTCACTAAAAGCACATGTATACTTGAACTATTGGTAAGCTCTAACATCAAATCTGTATTCCTGGTGGCTCATAGATTTTTTGCCTTGACCAAAACTAGCTAGGAGCTTGGCATTTATAGAACTACTGACTGAGAGATGAACTTACACCAGACACCTTAAATGACCGATCGATATTTAGTTCATTTTTTTAAATTGTGCAGTCCACTGCATGAATCTCTCTCTCTCTCTCTCTCTCTCTCTCTCACGTGCTTTATTCACCTGTGTTCATGAAGCTAACTCCTTGTTAGTGTATAGATTATTGACATTAACTAATTAAGTGAGCTCAAAACTATGCAAAAGGGTGGAACGTAAAAAGACTTATTATATACTGATGAAAAATCCTTGTACATTCTTCTGCCGTCGCCTTAGTGTTATTCATATGTTCTTTTTTCTTTTTCGTACCCTTAGATTTTCACTCTTGTTTGCAATTGACTTGAATCTTCTGCATCATGAACATAGTTCTGCATGGCTCTGAGTTGTTTACATTATGTTTCAAGTGCACGTCTCCTCTTTTGGGCTAATAATTTGTCTTGATAGGTCATGTTCCTTTGAATGTTTTCTCCTCTCCTTCAGAATTTTCTTCCAAGAAGATTGTCACATAGAAATATCGTCCGGGCTTTCGGTGGATCTATCGGAAGCCTCTTGTAACCCATCTCTTGGGGAGTTCTCCTCAGGGTTGTTTGCAGAGCTTCCAGACGAAAGTGCCATATGAACTCCACCTCTTGGCTTACATTGAAGATGATGATGCCACATGACTTGGTACATAACAGTGGAGGCTTTCGTTTGATGGGATTTACAGGCAGTTCTCTCCAATGATGGACAAATTCAGGGGAAATGTGCGTCAGAATATTACGCATGCTGAATCAGACATCAGTCCGACCATTGGTGCATGCAAAACCAAGATGAAATGTAAAACATTTTGAACAATCAAATGTAAAAAGAAAAGAAAAGAAAATTTGTTATATATATATATATATATATTTCTTGAGGAATGTTTTAGGAAGGTGTGGAGTGGAAGCAACTAAAGTGGGGGAGTGGCAGTAGCAGGGCTACAGCTGCATGGGGCAATCTGCTTTGGGCTTAACACTCATGGGTCCAAGAACAGTGAGGCCCATTAAGTTCTGTTTTCTTCATTCACAACCCATAAGGATCAATGTTGAACCAGTAACTGTTAGCGGATGTTTTAGATAAAATAAGGAAGGATATAAATGAAGTAAGTTTAATAAAGTACGTAATAGAAAATGATACAGAGAAAATGGATTGCATTATTCATTATCCATTTTGTCCTATAGAAAGAAGATTAGCATTCTTGCACAAGGATGACACGCACAAATCAAGAAATTGTCCAAATTTTTTCAATTAAAATTACTCATTGACACCAAAAAAAAAAAAAATCAAGTAATAGAAAGTAACAATATAACTATTAAAATTCAAAATAATCATTTTTTATATGTATAATTAAAATGCAGAAGGAAGAAAATATAGATGATATAATTAGTAAGATTGGAGGGGGGTGAACAAAATAAACAAGTCAGCGATTGAAAAAAAAAAAAAAAGACGTTGTGTGTGATTTGGCATCTGTTAGCATAAAAGAGAAAGTAAAAAGAAGATAAGTGAACATCCGGATTCATGGGTAGTAAAAGAAAGTAGATTTGTTTGGTAAAAATTAAAGAGGCAGTTAAAATAATTAACAAATATTTTAAAAAATTAAATATATTAAAAGAAGTTAAATAATGTGGTCAATCTCACTGTTAAGATGATGACAAAATGGAGGAAAAGACCCCACATGGCATCTGCATGTTGGTTAAAAATTAGTAAAATCAAAGCACCGTTTGCAGCTACAAATTAAAGAGGGGACAGAAACCACAAATCTATAACAACCGCGAAGGTGACCGTGATCATATACCGGGATTGCTAAAGATGCCTTTTACATTAATATTCAATTGGCCCACCAAAGGACACCAATAACGTCACTGATTACTTCATCTGCGACCCCTGTAGCTTCTTCTTGGCTGGACTTGGACCCTTGGATTTCACTTTTCAGATTCAAAAAAAATTTTAAACTTTTGAACAAATTACATTGACCTTCCCTAATATTTAAATAAATTACACACAAGTAAATCACTTTGGTCTACTAGTCGGGAAAGTCTTTCTTGTGCACAGTTATATTATGTCACCTGTGCATCGATTATATTATGTTATTCGTGTTATCAACCAATTATATCTATCACGTAAAAGTGTTTTACTTTAATAAATTTAATCATTAATTATCAATATTTAATCAATTGACAATTCCATATCGTTAATACAACTTGAGCATTAAAGTGTTTCTTCTACTAATCTTCTTATAAACTCGTTCATTAGTTTCTTTTAAACCCATATAATTTGTACCCTATTGTCTTTTGCACTCACCGGCAAAATCAGAGGGAAAGTGGGGGTGAGAAGAAAGGTTGGTGAGGGCAAGGGAGGAAAAAGAGACACGAAGTCCGAAACACGTGGGCAGTGTATCTATCCTAATTGTTTATTGCCACGTGTTCACCAATCCAGATTAGATGGAGATCTCCATCCGACGGTCCATATCTCACCAAAGAACAACAAGTGAAGACCAAAAGACCGATCGAGAATAAACAAGAAGAGCAAGCAGAAGCAGAGAGAGAGAGAGAGAGAAGAGAGGAGAGAGAAAGTATGGCGATAGGGGTGAAGCCAATTCCTTTAACGATTGTGGCGCAAGTGCTGGCTATAGCGGGTGCTATTATGGTGTTGGTTTGGTGCATAGCGTTCAGGGGTGGTTTAGCTTGGGAATCTTCAAACAAAAGCCTCATCTTCAATGTAAGCCCCCTCCATATTTCTTCTTTCACTGTTATACATGTGTTTATGCATATATATTTCATTTCTTAGATTGAGAATTTCAAAGTATTTTTGGGAATTTGGGTTTGATTTTAGGCAGTGACTTTGTTTTGTTTGGACGAATGAGTGTTTTCGTGCTGAAAGACTAGTATGCCCTCACTCCATTATCCATGCATTCAAGTATTTCTAATATTTTCATTCAATTCTTCTGAGTTTTCCATGGTCGCAACACACTCTCAAAAGGATTGCCTTTGTGTGCATTTCTTATAGTTATGGTAATTGAAAAGGGTATTAAATTGAACTTAACCATTATTGGGCTGTTTTTTTTTTTTTGTTTTTTTTCATTTTCTTATTGGGGAGTGGGTTTACACCTGGCTGTGAACACGTGACATGCGAGTTATGCCTTCATTGCTTTGATTGTTTGGTGAACACACCCTTCTCACATGGCATTTTCTTTATTTCTTTTTTCTTTTTCTTTTAAAAATAATACAGTAATAAATAAGTAAGACACACATACCCACGTTTATTTCCACTTTAGAAATTAGTGACCTATCATGTGCTTTACTTATTGGTGTTAAATCTGTAGCACCTTCCCTTCTTATTGGCAAATAAAAGCAAGTTTGTCTCTTAAATTGACAACTTTTTATGGTATTACCATTTGGTTTTTAATACTCCCTCTACAATCTACATCACTAACTTTCTTAAATTTATAAGAGAAAATTAATTGAATTAGTGACATCACCATTACTCTTTCATATTGGAATCTCCTATCTTATGCTACCCTAATAATTTTAAGTCAATTACGAAACAACATTACTTATGCAACAAATACTTTAAATTACTTGTTGCATAACTGATGAATCGTGTCATTTAAATAATGTAATGTATTCCGTAAACAATACCGGATATCCCAAGGTTGATATTATTATCTCAAAACTTTTTGGTTACCATGGTACAATCACACACCCTTTCTACTTCCCATTAAACAAACTTCTTACAATATATGCCTTGTAGGACAGTATGTATCTGTGACTAACACATGACGTTCTTAAAGTTAGTCTTGGCCTTATTACATAATCCTTTGCGATGTTATCACTTATCCGTCCACTAATCTAAGTTGAGGATGACTCACGTGCCTTTGTTACATATTTGTGGTGTTAAATGAATTATGATAGGAATCGGATATGTATGCTAGCTGAATGCCTTTCTTGTTTGTCTTGTTCTCATGAACATTTTGTTTGGTTACACACAAATACGTGTCCTTTTCTCGGATAGTTGGAGATTATTCTAAATTCTTGGTCCCCATTTACTTGCCTTTCTATTCCGAAGAGATGAGAATTCGGCAGCCACACGACTCCCAGATATCTGAATTATACTCACCATAGACAAATATATTAGAGTGGTCCTTTTTTTCGAATTATTTTTTCTATAGCAATTCCCTTATGTTTGTTTAATATATTTTTTAAAAATAAAAAAACACCGCCACAAAAAAACATAATTGAATCAGATTAAAATTTAAAATTTACCGAGGTCTAATTTAACCTTTAAGTAGGATGCAAGCTGCAGGCGAGGTGGCTATATCTTGAATATACTTATGTAAGTTGATGCCTTGTAATTAGAATTAGAGGGGAAAAAAAAAAAAAAAATCAAAATTTAGTATAATTTTCTCTATTTTCAATTTCAAAGCACGTATTTCATGCAACCGAACATAGCATTAGAGATATTTAAGAAGTAAAAGGACCAATTTTGATTAAGCACCCTAGTGAGGTTGAATTTGATGTGACTGGTAGAGGAGCGTACCCGAACCCTATCAAAATTGAGCAGGTCTACATTATCAATAGGTTGGTGATGCGCCAAGTGAACGGTACATGGTAGATATTATTACCCGAAGGGAAAATGAGAACTTGAGTGACTATCTTTAAAATGCATTTGCCCTGCATGTTGAACAGAGCTGTTATGAGTATGCATTTATGGATATTTATTATGAATCAATCTAAGAAAATTTATGTTAACTATCAAATAGAGAGAATCAAACAAATATCTTACATCCTACCGGCTGTATAAAGTTCTGCAACTTTGGGGGTGGTTTCGATTGCCATGTTCATGTTATGAATCTTACATGTCCTATTCTATTTTGCAGCTTCACCCTGTTCTTATGTTAATTGGCTTTATTATTATTGGAGGTGAAGGTAATTAACAAATCTACCCTAGTTGTAGTTTAACTGATTGAAATTGTGAACTAATTACTTTTCACATACTCTAATAAGTTCTATCCTTTTCTGTTTGAGAACAATGCAGCCATTATGACTTACAAAACTCTTCCTCTAAGGAGAGACGTGAAGAAGCTAATACATCTAGTTCTGCATGCTATCGCTCTGATTCTCGGTATAATTGGTGTTTATTTGGCATTCAAATATCATAATGAGAGCAGCATTGCCAATCTGTACAGTTTACATTCCTGGCTCGGGATTGGAATTATCGTTCTCTATGGCATTCAGGTGATTAATTCCTGAAGTTCCTTTCTTTTTTCCATTTCCACACTGTTAACTCTTATCATTTGTTTTCCAAATGTTTTCCTCTCCTTCATTTTTTCTTCCTTTTCGAAATTTCTTTGATAATGGTGGTATAATTTGCAGTGGATCTACGGATTCCTGGTGTTCTTCTACCCTGGAGGACCAACTGCAATAAGAAATGCGTCAGCTCCTTGGCATGTTATATTCGGGTTGTTTGTGTATATTCTAGCTGTTGCCAATGCCACGCTAGGGTTTCTGGAGAAGCTTACGTTCCTTGAGACGTCCGGCGTTGCTAAGTATGGCTCTGAGGCCTTCCTTGTGAACTTCACTGCCCTTATTACAATACTGTATGGAGGCTTTGTGGTGTTAACAGTCTTTTCTCAAGCTCCTCCAGATGAAGACGACTACAGCTATTCAGCTATATGAGATATTATTGATATCAATGGTCACCTATGAAAATACTAATATCTATTGTTTGTATGAACATATCTCTGGTTGTGGTTAATTGTTAATGATGTAATTGGAGTGTAATGAGGTATCATTGTTAGTATGTGAAACCTTCACATGTGAATGTTTTGTCCACTTGGTCACTGACGTTCGTGTGTCCCAATCGCATTTTTATCTTTGTGTTTGTGGTGGAATATGTGCTTCATTTCGTTTATTTTGTGAAGAATATGTGCTATAGGAGATTAAAATAGTGGGATAGTTACAACTGGTGAAAAGTTCAGAGAAAAATAATAAATTTATATATCAATAAAAGAGAAAAATCAACGAGTTTTACAGTTTTGGGATATAATGGGATATAATGAGAATGGTAATAATCTTAATTAATTACTATCTAAGGAAAGGGTATGTTGTCAGTGGATTGGTGAGATAATAACACGGTGTTATGGTGTATCAAAAGGTTGTGATTTACTCGCAATTATAAGGATGGTTGTGATCTATTTACAATCATACGAATAATTTTCAAGATATACAAGTAATTTCAGAATGCTACTAAGACGACCCCATCCAACTACTAAGAAAAAGTTGTCACCCCAAATTTTCAATTTTCATTTTAGAATGTAATTAAAGAAGGATGATACTTGCCTATCGGTGAGTAGGAAACTTTTACTCACTATGAGTAGGAAACTTTTACTCACTACGAATATGACGCATTACTAAACTAACAAGTGTCCTTACATTTTAAAAAATAAATAATAAATAATTTAATTGCTATTTGAATTAAATCCAAATGAATCCCAATCAAATTATAATTCTCTCTCCTCTCATTCTTTCTTACGTTTGGTGCATATATTAAAAATAATCCATCATATCAATAAGGTTTGGTTCAAAGAATTTAGACACAAAAAAGTGGTGCATATATTAAGAACAATCCATCATATGAATCTGCACTATTGGTCTTGTGATTAAAGGGTCTCAAGGGAACAAATCATATACTCAAGCGTTCTAAGTTCGACTCTGCACAAAAATACCTTGATGTGTAGAAAAAGAAAAAAACAAATCTATCATATGATTTGCTCCTTTGACATGGTCAATGCCAACACACAAATAAATGAATTCATATACCACTCCAGGCCCTTGTCCATCTTTCTATAAAGTTACCGGAGAAAAAAGACAGTTGAAACTTGAAATTAAATGAGAATCTATCTATGCATGAACGAAGAATGAGACTACTATTGACTAGACAGTGAAACATTATGGGAACTGGAACGACCCTCCAATATGAGAATTACCTGATAAATGGTTGATTACCACCAGAGAAGAGATATAGTAATTACAATCAAACATGAAAAAGAGGGAGATAAAAGAAAATTATAATTTGATTCGAATTTATTTTGATTTAACCCAAATAACTATTAAATTATTTATTTATTTATTTTTTAAATGTAAAGATACTTGTTAATTTAGTAATCCGTCACATATAGAGTGAGTATAAATTTTCTAACTCACTAATTAATAAGCTAAGTATTGTCCATTAACGACATAACTTACCATCATACTTCATTCTCATGCCTTTATGAAGTTTCTATCCTCTTGACTGTGTTAATCAATGTGACTTATCCACGTTGATTGATATGTGTAATTTCCTTTTATTGTGCGTTGGTCCGTATAACTGTATACTTAATTATTTACAGTTATAAAAGAATATTTGATTCCATCCATGCATAGGTGTGGACAGTGGAGCTGAGCAACCATCTATGCGTTTTTTTATAAATGCTCTTTTTTATTATAATAGTGTCTCTAATACTTTATTCTCTTATTTTACGAGTTAAAGGCAATGGTATCATTTCACTTTAAAATAGAAAAATTGAAACGTGAATATTACCTGCCTTTTCAGTAACTTATATAGTGGAAAAAGTGATATTCAAATTGTATATATATATATATATATTCAAATTGCACTCTAAAAATAGAAAACAATATTTTCGGATTCTAAAATTCTTGTAACATTTTTCATTTTTGGATATCATAAATTCATATCAAATTTGAATAGAGAAAAATTGCATATGCTCCAAAATGTCCTTTTACTTTTTAAAAACAAAAAACAAACTAGCAATATGAACTTTTTAACTTACAAATAAGTGGTTTTGGAATTTCAAAATGAGGCAATACGTTGAAGATAGAATGGGAGCACTACTTTTTTAAAATAAAAATAAATAAAAAATACTCCGTTGGGATACTTTGGCTTATTGTGGGTCCCTTTTCATAGCATTCAAAAACACCGTAAGAAGGAAGAAGGAGTGATGATGGAAAGACAAAAACATAAAGTACTCCCTTCGTAGGGGTGGCAAAAATTTCCAATTCAGTGGAAAACCGTCTCGCTCCCGCTCCCTCCCTTGCCCTCGCCCCCGCCCCTGCCTTATTTAAAGTAAATTTGGAGAACCGATTACTTAAATGGGGTGAGGATGGGAGTTAAAAAAAAAACCCCGGCCGGTTGCGGGGCGAGGGCGGGGGACTAAGATCCTCGCCCCATACCCGCCCCATAACCGCCCGTTTAATATTTCAAATTATTAATTTACCCTGCCATGTTAATATATTTACCAAATTAACCTTCACTATATATATATATTGGAAACCCTACACTTAAGTTTCAAACCCTACACTTAGCAGCGGCAGCCGAGCTCCCTCTCTCTCAAACCCAAAATACATCCACCATTTCATTTTGGGAACGAGGTCAGACCAGATCAGATCCGTATGAGTCGTTGGAGAGTGTGGTTGGGGACGAGGTCTGAAGGCTGTTGGGTGAATTCGCCATCGTCGAGCTAGCATTGGATGCTGAAGCGGTCGTAGGTGACTCCGCCGTGGAGAGTCACAGGGGATTTCATGACGTCCAGTGAGATTGGACACTTGAATAAGCTAGCAATTGTGATGTCCAAACTTCTTGGTTGTTTGACTGTGAATCTGGAGGCTGTTGGGTGAGTTTGGGAGGCGGCAAGGCGGTGAGTTGGTGGGTGATCAGTCGGGATCGAATCGAGTCAGACCAGATCCGGATGAGTCGTTGGAGAGTGTAGATTTTGTAGTTTGCAATTGCAGAAAGAGAAAGGGCAAGTTCAGAGTTTTGATTTTTTGATTCTTGAACAATCTAAAATGATATGCCGATATGGGTTTTGAACTTTTGATTCTTGCAGACAATAGATAAATTGAAATATATGGGTTTTGACTTTTTGATTCTTATAGATTTTGTAGTTTGCAGTTGCATAGAGAGAGAGGGAGAGAGATAGGGCAAGTTCAGAGTTGAGAACGAGAATAGAGATGGAGGTGACTAGGGAGGCTAACTTTAGTTACCCTAAAAATATAATCGGTTATGGGGCGGGGGGCGGTTATGGGGATTAGAAGCAAAAAATTAATCGGTTATGGGGCGGTTTCGGGAGCACCAAAATTAAACGAGGGCGGGGATGGGGAATGGGAAACCCGCCCCAAACCGCCCCATTGCCATCCCTATCCCTCGTTCTTAATTTAAATGTCATTTTTAGAGAATAAAATTTTTTAAGGGGATATGTGAGACATGCTTTGTCTCTATGAAAAGTTAATAATTTATCCTTCTAAATTTTGAATATTCAACTTCGAAATTTTAAACTCCAAGGAAATATATGGAAAGATGTAAAATATATTGTTTGAAAAAGAAAAATGATAATTATTTTGGGATGGACCAAAAAAGAAAGCATGACATTTTTTTTTTTTGAACAGAAAGAGTAAAAAACTTCTTTATTTTGGTAACAACGAGAATAAGAGAAAAGATAATAGAATGGTGGTGACTCACAAATTTTAATTCCTCTAAATATGAGTGAAAGAGTGGAGAGAAAACAAGTGAGGTTATTTTAAAAGTTTTAAATTATAATATACTTCATAAATCACAATAAAATAGATAGTGATGATATAAATAATAAAAATAATTTAAAACTCTCTCTCTCCTTATCTTTTGATGAATACAGTAAATTGTTTATTAGTTTATTTTTTATTTTTTCATCTAATCGAAAATAAGTGAAAATAAATATCTCATCTATGATTTATTAATTTAATTTTTCATCTAACCGAACAAAAAATAAAATGACACCATAAATATCTCATCCATTCATGTTTTTTTTCTCCCACTAATCAAGCATTTGGCTCAAGAATTCCATTAGAATAATAGCACTAAATATCATTTTTCTAAGAAAAAATGCTACGAGAATGGGTTACTCAAAAGTGGGCTGCCATTCCTTAAATTGGGTGTGAAATGATGTTACGCAACTAATAATGATGGGTGTCGCGATCTTATTGTGAGAGCGTCTCTTTGTAGCAATGCTTTTGCAATTTGGCCCAATAAAATTTCTATTTATTATTATTATTATTATTTTTTTTTTTTTTGTCTTTCTCTTGACTTAGACGTTAGTATTTAATCTAATTATGGTGTTTTGGTGGGTACGATACCAGGCTGTTTACATCAGGTTGGCCCAAATCGGGACTGGAAAGATATTTCCAACTCCTTTAATATCGTGGTGCGTAGATAACTAGATATCAATTTCATTTTGTTTGATAATTCCAACCATATCTTTCTTTGTTGGAACTTAATCCCAACAATATCTCCATAATTTATATAATTATAAACAAAAATAGAATAACACAACATTGTTTTTTTTTACATTCACCCAAACAAAAAAACATAACGTCATTTTTCTTTTTCCATATTTTACTTTCCTTTCACTTTTTTTTTTTGCAAAGAGTTCTTGTTTTAAAAGGAGTTTCTCTCAATTAAACATCGAATCGACTTTTTTTTTTTACATCTATTCAGTTGGATTTTGACATCTAAACCAAGCTTTATTTTTATTGAAGGTATGTTTCAATTTGAATTTCGGTACAAATTTGATCAAATTTAATCAACACCTGTTCATTTTTTTAAGGTAAGTTTTAATTTGAATTCTATACTAACCAATTTCTAACCTTTTTGATAAAAAAAGCCATACAACTTTTGTTTTTACTTTTAGTCTATGATTACATCTGTTTTAGGTTGCACCATTGAGAGGTAATAGTTGTATTGTTTTTCAACATTGTTTCTTGTTTTGCATAGATCGAGCCAGATTTAACATCCAAGTCTTTTTACATTTTTTCTTTAGAATTAAAAAAAAATTAATAATTATTTTGGATGTCAAAACTACGA